ACCTATAGTATAAAAACTTCGCACATGATATGAAATACTAAACCGAAACTTGTTCTCTTGTAGTGGAAAGAAGAGAAAGAAATGAAAATAGATCCATACAAGGATAAACAACTCTTAGAGCTCGTCGGTGACCTTTGCAACTTCATATTGGACCAGATTGTACACGTCAAAGAACCTATCATGGCCGAGATTCTGACTTAGGTAGAAATCCTCAGTATCAACACCTTCGTGAGACTGAAAGGCTAGCTCTAGGCCGTTGATAACAATGTGTATGGAATTTGACATTGGTCTTACCTTGTGGGACGGTTTGGACTTGTGGAACGAATTAGACTTGTGAATTATGTCTATTTAATGATGGATTGTATATATTCTTGTGAATTGGACTTATAATGGTAGTTTATATAATGCTCTTGTGCTTGTGGTCAGATTTGAATCATATATATATATATATATATATATTCTAGTCGAATTTGAATTGTAATTTTGAATTTTTTTTGCGAAAAATGTACTGTAGAGGCGGTTCTAAACAGGTATTATAGGGACGGCTGGTACTACGGCCGTCCCTACAAATCGATTTGTAGGGGTGGCTGATAACACCGCCCGCCTCTACAAATCGATTTGTAAGGGCGGTCTGAAAACCGTCCTACAAATGTTTGATTTGTAGAGATGGTATGGTAGGAGCGGCTGGTCGAGCCATCTCTATAAAGCCTCACCAGCCGTCTCTAGAAACCATTTCTATAGTAGTGTAGTAAAACATTACAACTTTTTGTGTTCTCTCAGTGAACATTACAACTTTTTTGCTACATGCTACACTTCAGAAAGGACATTTACTGTCTCGAAGGGAAACAAATAAAGAAGCAGCAGATCACTCGATCAGTTGTTGAGCATTTTGGCAGTCATTCAAGATATCACTGACAAAGAAACAACCGAGTTTCAAGTTATGAAGAACCGCTTCTGATTTATTTCATCAGAAAAGAATAGATTGAATAAAAAATTATTGGGATACTTGGTGGCTGAAGAGTTTCTTCCTGATCTGCAAGAGGAAGTCAGAGACATCATGAGTCTGCCAACTGCACACAAACTGCTGCAATGCAGGAGGAAATCGATAAGGAAACAACCATAACCGACACACCTCAGGAAGCTTTTGCCTGAAGGAGACGCTGAGCCTGGCGTCCAGCGTGTTGTCGCAGACGATCTTGCCGTCCTGGGATGCAAGCACCACGCCGCCGGAGCTGTTTGTTCGTCATCATCAGTTCATTGGTAATGGCAGCAGCATGTAATAATGTAATGTAACGTCGTGAGTAATAAGTACCAGGACGGCCCGTGCGCGTCGCGGCTGCTCCTCTGCGGCGGGAGGTAGAACTTGCCGTCGATGATGACCTTGGGGAGGTTGACCTTGGCCTTCTCGGCGTACTCCTTCTTGGCCACCTCCAGCACCGCCTCCACCAGGCTCCGGTCCGTCTCTCGGCACCGCAGCACCAGCGCCGGCTCCCTCAGGCGAAGCAGACTCTGATCCGATCCATCCCATCGCCGCGGCCCGTTAGGTTCCAATCAAGATTAATTAATTGGCAAGCCAAACCGACCTGCACGATGAGGCCCTTGAGGACCCTCTTGTAGGCGTTGGCGTCCTTGGTGACGCGGAGCAGCGCGTCGCCGGCGCTCTCCTTCATCCCGGTGACCACGTCGTCCTGCGCCTGCAGCAGCTTGATGCGCGCCGCGTTCAGCTCCGTCGAGTACTCGCTGCATGCACGCGCGCGTGCGTCCAAACAGGATGGATTACCATTACCAGCGTGGATTTTGCATAGATGAATGAATGATGAGATGATAAAATGAAGGGATCGATCGATCATCGATCTACTCACATCTTCCTGCGGACGTCCACCTGCTTCTCCTTGCGCTCGTACTCCTGCCTCACCCTCCGTTTCTCCGACTCCACCAGCTGCAGCTTCTCTATGCTGAACTCCTGCATGCAGATGCAAACGTTTAAGTCGTTTAAATTAATGCTCGTCTGGTCGCAAAAGCCAAAAGGATGGGGAAAAATGAGTCGAAAAAAAAGGAAGGGGAAAAAACGAATCCGAGAATCTTCTCTGCGAGTAATCGGAGAATTTATGAGCACGAGATTTGAAATCTATGTTGGGAAGTGTACTGACTTCTTCGGCGGCAACAGTGATCTCGCTGGCTTTCTCGTCGGCCTCCTGCAGGATGAACCGGACCATCTGCTGCACCTGCTTCCCGACGTCGGCATCGTTCATCTTGGCTGCTCTTGTTGGCTGCAAACTCAACCGATCAACGTGTGATTCCTGCGATCGAGAGTACTTGGTTCCTCGAGCGAGCGCGAGATCGAATTTACCCCTCGAAAGGTTTGTGTGCCGTGTGCTTCCGATCCTTCGGCTTGGATGGATGAGACCAAGGAGGAGAAGGAACGCCTACGCGGAGTTCGGATCTGTGCGAGCGTGGCGCGTGGGTGGGTGTGCGCGGGACTGACTGGCTGAGGGAAGAGGAAGCGACGTGAGGTCGGAAGTGTTCGTTACCTTCCGCGCTATATTTTGACCTTTGCCTTCAACAAATTACGCCACCACACGATGCCGTGGCTCCAAGGACCAGCGCCTGGATGTCCGGACGCAGTTCCCTCGACTGTGTACATCCCCCCGCTCCGATGCGGCGTTCGTCCGGACAGACCTCCGCTATCTGACGCAGCATCCTCGCCCTCACCCATCCCGCTCCCCATCCTTTCCGATCCACCACAGCATCCCGCCCCAACCGCTTCCACATCCGCGGCCTTCCATCTTTGCCACACCTTGCCACACCAGAGAGCCACAGCAGCCGGCTTTTTTCGTGTTACTGCTCGGGTAGCAGCACGGCCGCCAAGGGTTTGGGCTTTCTCTACACCTATATCTAAATCTACTCTTGTAACACCAATATAAAACAATGCAACATACGTCTGAAACAAATGAAAACATTTAGAACATACACTTGCAACATTGTCATTACAACATATGCAATATCCAGAATAAAGCACTCACAACATACGTCTAAAACATGAAACATTTCGAACATGTACTTGCAACATAGCCATTGCAATATATGCAACATCCAGAATAGAACACTTGCAACATATGTCTGAAACAGATAAAACATACCTCTAAAACATCTGAAACACGTCGAACATACGTTTGCAACACGCGTTTTCAGCGCAACATCTCCTTGTTGAGGTCGCACGTAGCGACGGCCACGACCATCCTAGTGAGGAACTGTAGTAGTGGAAGCACCTCGGCTCGGCGGGGGACGAGCGCAGCGAGGCAGAGTGGGCGTGGCAGGGGATGGCAGCGCGGGGTGGGGGATCCATGCATCGCGGGATAGGACACGCGGCGTGGGAAGGCGGCGGCAGCGAGACGGAGTAGGGCGGATGGCGTCCAAACGGACGGACATCCGCTTCCCAGCATTACCGCTCAAAGTATATATGAGCAAAAGTTATGACATCCACGTGTAGATATAACGTGTAGTTTCACTGCTCGATAAAATTGCTATTGTAGGTCGTTTAGATGTTGAAGGATTTTTTTCTGGAAGGAAAATATAAAAATCATTATCTTCTTCCTGAGTCTTTTATTATTAGAGGGCTCTCTCTCCCTCGATGAATTCTCTCATCTGTCTCTCTCTGCTTTTTTACACTGGGCCCAACAACGAAAGGATTACCTTCCTAATTCTACGGGCTCACGTTTGCGCTTGTCCCAGTTTCCAGATGCAGCCCGTTCGCTTTTGGACGGATCGCTGAAATCTTGTTTTACTACTGGGCCAACACGGCCCGAACCTTTTGTGGCCCATTTCGTCTACGCGCTCACACCTTCGCTCTCGTTTTCCTCCCTCTCCTCTCCCCTCCAAGTGTCTCACTCTCGCCGCCGGCTCGGCGTCGGCGCAGGGCAATGCCGTAATGGAGGCCGACAGGCGTTGGCGGCGTTGCGCGCCGCCGGGTCGGAGGTTTCGTCGCAATCGAGTTTCTCCGCCACGAAGGCTGAGGTCTCCAAGCACGTCGCGCTGACCGCGTGGCCATGTGGTGACTTCCTGTTTTACCCACTCGCTGGCTCACTGAACGTGACGGCCCCTTCCTTGTTCCTTCATTTTCCGTGATGGTGCAAGGGTTTCTGACGTAGGGTGCGCAGGATTCTCTGACCGGCGGGAGGTGGGGTTGTTGGATTATTCTGCATCGGTGTGGTCGCACGGACATCCCCTGCCTGCAAGGTGTTTGGGTAAATTCCGACATGCCATTGATTTTCTTTATGCTAGTTGCTGACATCTTAATCCCATGCACGGGAGGCTTCTTGTACATGATCCTCGTTGGCTCCACGCAGTTTAAGAGCCCATTTCTCAGTGTGAATACGGAGATATATAAGTAAGCCCATTCTTATTATAGTATATGATTGTGGAATTGACAACGTCATACAGGTTGCTTTCAATATTTGTCTGTTGTGTGCTCCAATTTTGAACTCTCTTGGATAACATTTTAGAACTGGTGTTACACAATTCTAGGGTCTTTGACTACTTGTAGAACATTGATTGATGTGGCACAATGGCGATCCTGTGTATTTTGAACATTGGTATAGCGACATTATAGTTTAGGATAAATGTTAGGCTCTCGTTTGGCACAAAGAGCTGTTCTGTTGAGCGTAGACTTTGACTTCAAATAAATAGAAGAGTTTTAACTCATCAACTAACCATAGGTCTGGAGATCATAGGCATTAATCAATTGTCCATGAGTATCGCCTGGTCATGAAGCCAGTATGTTTTTTCCCCCTAGATTGAAGCAATCATTGAATTTTGTCTCTGCAATCACTTAACTCAGTCCATGTTCATGGCATATAAAGTAGCTGAAACATGTCTATGGGAGTATGGGTAATGTACTTCAAAGCTGTCCCTCCTACTCTGAGTGCAAAGACACATCTCCCACCTTAATCTCAGAAGCTGTACAAGAGCAACTCTGATTGGTAGTAGAAGCTGCATCAGGGATGGAGACCCAAGGATGTCAACATGTTTACGGAAATGGAACCAGCATCATACATAACTTGCTTCATGACCCCAGGGGCCGTGTGTTCAGTGTTGAGGCCTTAATGGTTGTGGAAATGGCCCTCTTATGGTTCATTGCTGCTCTTGGATCCTTCCGTCGTCAATCAAGTAGCAGGTGCATTAGAACTCTTGTGTGGGCTGCATACACACTATTGTTTCTCATCTTTACATACATGATTGGGTTCATGCAGTCATCATCCATCAAGATTGACCTGTATCCTGTATGGGCCGTATCATTCTTTGCAGTCCTTGGGTGCACCAACTCTATCACCGCTTTTGAACTTGATGACAACAAGCAATGGATGAAACACTATATTCAGTTAATTCTCTACTACACATATGTTTCTGTTTTGCTTTCGCACATGTCAGATGCTTTTGTAGTTACCAGTGTCACTCTTCTATTCACTGTAACCATCTACAAGAACTTTGTGCGAATACAAGCTTCTGCACTGGCTAGCGAGTCATGGTACTGAAGCAAACTGCTTGCTGACTACATGAAGCATGATGCTGATTCAAATGAGTCTGGATATGACCCCATTAGCTTGTCAGGCTTCAATTACCTTGTATGCTGGGTTGGTGCTAGGATTAGGTCTGAGCCTCCTTACTACCGAAGAAAATTTATTGCAACAGATGATATTACAACAGTTGAGCAGATTTGGCGTTGTGATGGTAGACTGATGAAGTCCACTGAGGGTGCCCAATTGAAAGATATATGCCTTTCTTTTGCACTGTTCCATTTGCTCCGGCGTCGCTACTTTGGATTTTCTTGTTCTGAATCTGGCCTAAAAAAGACTCATGACTTCATCTTTAGAGGGCTATTAGCCACGGAAAAGGATTACAGTAGGGCTTTCAAGGTGATAGAAGTGGAGTTGAGTTTCCTATATGATTTTTTCTTCACCAAGTATGCCCTCATGTACTATCGAGAATGTGTAATATTCTTCCTTACCATTATTTCAGTCACATTGACCCCTTTGGTTATAGTGGCTGTAACTCGTCCGCATGGAATACATGGTGATTGGGCCACAATGGAAACCAAGAATGCTGATATTGTTATTACTGTGCTAAATTTAATGTCACTTGCTTTGCTGGATATGTTGCAACTTATACTGTATTGGTTCTCAGACTGGGGTAAAGTTTCGTTAACTTGCAGGTATGTCAGTCATCTCCGGTGGCAAAAGAATAAATTCATAGAGAGGTTACTTGTTTTGCTCTGCAAGATTACATTGCTTCCGAATTGGCAGAACAAGATTGGTCAGTATTTGATACTTGAGTCCTTTGAAGGCGATATTTGTAAGAGATGGTTGAACATTTTCACTAGATGGAGCAGTATCATTTATCTTCATGATCAAGAGAAGATGGGTATTAACATGGGTTGCTTGGTAAATAATCGCAAAGCAGGAATTCCTACCAATGTGCACAATGAAGTCAAGAAAGCAATTGTGCAGTCTCTAAAGGCTAGCGATGGCCAGCTATCCAATGGTTTGTCCTCCTTAACGAGAAATGGTCTACTTGAGCACTTCTCCTGGGCATGCAGGCAAGAGACTCAAACACATGCAATCTTGATTTGGCTCATAGCTACCAGCTACTGTGAAATTGCACCACCTGAGTTGGAGTTGGGTGGGAGCAAAGAACAAGAAGATTTTCTGATCCAACGCGATGTTGGCACCAAATTATCAAGATACTGTGCATACTTGGTTGTGTTTGTTCCAGAGCTGCTACCAGATCACCAATGGGATACAAAAACCATATTTGATGAGGTGGAAAAGGAAGCACGTGAATACCTGGGAGGTGTTGTTATGACCGGTACGGTCTACAGGCGCAGACACCGTGGCTAAGAGCCCGGCTAGTCGGCCCAGTTGGATAGCAAGTCCTAGAATCTAGGATACTTATCTCTTGAGTTTGTTATTTGGTTAAGTTAGAGTTGAGTCGGTTAAAGATTTGCTTGTATAAGTATTGAACAATTATGTTGGAATAGATTTAGCCTGGGATTGAGTTTATCTCACCTTGGGCCCTCAGGCGTTACTGTTCACGATCTCTCTATTGCCGCCGAACCCCAGCTAGGCGCCGAGCACGGCGTCGCCAGTTCATCGCCGGGGTTCCAAGCCCAGGCCTCTCACCTCCCACTCATACGTCCTCCGATCCCTAAGCACCAACAATCTGATATCAGAGACCATGGCCTCCTCTGGTGCTCCTGCCGGTGCCGCTGCCGCATTGGTGCCCTCCACCGGCACCACCACGCCGTCGTCGTCCGTTCCTCTCGCCACGTCGGGCGCCCTTCCACCGCCTCCCGCACCACCGACCCTTGAAGACTCCCTGGCCGCCTTGGCAAGCACGCCGCGGCAGATGGGAGAGATGTTCCAAGGCATGCAGCGGCAGATGGCGGAGATGTCCCTGCGCCTGGTGACGGTAGAGAGCCGTCCGGGTCCTTCGACGCCACCACGCCTGCCGTACTCCACCACGCCGCTTCTACAATATGGCATGCCGGGTATGGGGCTTTCCGGCGTTAGAGCCGGTAGTCTCAGAGATCCTGCCCTCACCATCACTGCCGGGGTCCACGGCGCAGCTTCCGGCGCCCACGGCTGCTGGCATCACTTCTCAGCCGTTCCCGAAGGGGCTGCCGATTCAGTCGATCACGTTTTTGTCATCATCGTCGCCGGTCCCGTCGCTGTCCTCCATCCTGAACGGGCCGATCTACTCTTTCTGCTACGATGGTGCATGAACCGTGCCATCAACCTGAGGAACAAGGGGACAGCCAGGGCGTTCCCAGGTTCCATAAGTTGTCCTTCCCCACTTATGACGGCAAAGAAGACCCGCTCGGATGGCTAAACCGTTGCGAGTCCTTCTTCCGCGGCCAGCTTACCCGTGAGGCGGACAAGGTTTGGCTCGCATCCTTCCACATGACGGGATCTGCACAGCAATGGTATTATGTTTTGGAACACGACTCCGGCCGCCCATCCTGGGACAACTTTCGTTTGCTCTGCCACCAGCGTTTTGGGCCAGCGCTGTCCACCAACCATCTTGCCGACCTCGCTCTCCTACCGTTCGGTGCCTCCGTCGATGCTTACATGGAAGCCTTCTAGGCGCGCTTGGCGCACGCGGGACATCTTGCGCCGCTACAACAAGCCCAGCTGTTCACCGGAGGCCTCCCTAAGTATATCCGGGTTGATGTGGAGCTCCATGACCCCCAGGACTTGCACCGCGCCATGCGCTTGGCTCGGGCTTATGAGCGTCGCCATACATCAACGGCCCTCGCGCTCCCAGCACCACCCAGTCATCCTCCTCGGCGTGCTCCGGCTGGATAGACCGCCCTATCGTCGACAGGGGGCGCTACGCCGTCATCAGCAACCTCGGCGTCCTCCCCAAGCCGCCCCTTCAAGCGTCTCACGCTGGCAGAGATGGCAGATCGCCGCAAATTGGGCTTGTATTACAACTGTGATGAACCATACGTGCAGGGACACAAGTGTCCACGTCTGTTTTACCTTGAAGTGACAGATTATATTGTGGAAGAGCCAGAGTCCGATGAGGATGAACAAACGTCAGACGCCGGCCAAGATAAGCCCACCATATCATTATCGGCCATTGCAGGCATCAGGACTGAAGATACTATGCAGGTTTACGTCCAGGTTGGCAACATGCAGTGCGTGGCGTTGCTTGATTCGGGTTCTACTCACACATTCATCAACGGGGACGTCGCACGTCGCGTTGGCATCCATTTTGAACCGTGCCCAGGTGCCGGAGTCACGGTCGCAAATGGTGACCGCGTCGCTTGCCAGGGGCTCACGCGCGACGTCGGCATACGCATTGCCGAAGAAGTCTTCTCAGTTGACTGCTATACGATTCCATTGGACCGGTGGGACATGGTTCTCGGTGTCAACTTCTTGCGCACCCTCGGACCGATATTGTGGGATTTTGATGATTTGTGCATGGCGTTCACCAAGGCCGGGCGGCGCGTGTTCTGGCGCGGTAACGGCTCAACCCGCTATGACGTGCAGTCCACTCGCCGCCTCCATGCTCTCCATGGTGCGGGCCGCAACACCGGAACAGCCTTGCTCGACAAGCTCCTGAACTCATTTGAAGATGTGCTCGCCACGCCCGAAGGGTTGCCGCCCGCTCGCGCCTGTGATCACCGCATTCATCTCGTGCCAAATGCGCTGCCAGTGGCCGTGCGACCTTACCGCTACCCGCAACTACAGAAAGATGAACTGGAATCTCAGTGCGTCGCTATGCTGCAAATGGGGGTAATCTGACCGAGTACCTCAGTGTTCTCTGCTCCTGTTTTACTTGTCAAAAAACATGACGACTCCTGGAGGTTCTGCGTGGATTACCGTGCCTTGAACAAGCTCACCATTAAAGACAAATTTCCAATTCCGGTGGTCGAAGAACTGCTCGATGAGCTTCACGGGGCCCGTTTTTTCTCCAAACTGGACTTACGATCAGGGTACCATCAAGTGCGCATGCATGCTGATGACATTGAGAAGACTGCTTTTCGGACTCATGAGGGTCACTTTGAGTTCTTAGTCATGCCCTTCGGGCTGTCCAATGCACCGGCGACATTCCAAAGTCTCATGAACACAGTGCTTCGGCCGTTCCTACGTAAGTTTGTCCTTGTGTTTTTTGACGACATCTTGATCTATAGTCCCTCTTGGTCGACGCATCTGCAGCACATCAACGCCGTCTTGACTGCACTGCGTGACCATCACCTGCGGTTGAAACGCTCCAAATGCGACTTCGCAACGACGTCGGTACATTACTTGGGACATGTCATCTCCGCGGCTGGTGTTGCAATGGATCAGGAGAAGGTTGCAGCCGTTGCTACCTGGCCCCAACCCGGCAACGTGCGTGCACTCCGGGGGTTCCTCTGCCTCGCTGGGTACTATCGTCGGTTCATTAAAGATTATGGCTCGGTGGCTGCCCCGTTGATGGCGCTTCTCAAGAAGGAGGCTTTCCTGTGGTCGCCCGCAACCACGGACGCGTTCAACGCCCTCAAGAAGGCCCTGTCCAGTGCACCGGTTCTCCAACTTCCTTATTGAGACAAATCATTCATGGTCGATTGTGATGCATCCGGCTCTGGATTCGACGCGGTACTCCATCAAGGCGCTGGTGCTCTGGCATTTTTCAGCAGACCATTTGCAGCTCGGCACCACAAGTTAGCCGCATATGAGAGGGAACTCATCGGCCTTGTCCAAGCAGTTCGGCACTGACGTCCGTATCTGTGGGGCAGACAGTTTATTGTGCGCACAGATCATTATGCATTGAAGTTCTTGTTGGATCAACGGCTCTCGATAGTTCCCCAACATCAGTGGGTTAGTAAGCTCTTTGGGTTTGATTTCACGATTGAATATCGGCCGAGCACTCTCAATGTAGTTGCCGATGCGTTGTCTCGAAGGGAGGTGGACGACCTGCTGCTTCATGCCATCACGGAGCCTTTCGTCCAGTTATTCGACGATCTACGCCGCGACTGCAGCTGGATGCTGACCTGCGTGCGCTGCGCGACTCCATTGTGGCGAAACGTGGTGAGCCCTGGCGTCTCGCGGACGGTCTCATCATGCGCGGTGCCCGCGTGTTTGTCCCGGCGACGTCCACGGTCCTCCCCGCTGTTCTCCAGTTGGCGCACGGTGTTGGCCATGAAGGCACACAGAAGACGCTGCAGCGGCTTCGTCAGGAGTTCGTGATCGATCATGATCGTCGCCTTGACCGGGACTTTGTGAGTTCTTGTTTCACATGTCAGCGTAACAAAATAGAACATCTGCACCCGACTGGTCTCCTTCAGCCTTTAGAGGTTCCCTCACAAGTTTGGTCTGATATTTCCATGGATTTTGTGGAGGGGCTTCCGCGTGTACATGGGAAGAGTGTGATTTTAACGGTGGTTGACAGATTTTCCAAGCAGGCGCATTTTCTTCCGCTCAGTCACCCGTACACCGCAGCTTCTGTCGCCGGGGTCTTCTTTGAGGGCGTCGTTAGACTTCATGGTTTTCCGGCGTCCATTGTTAGTGATCGTGATCCAGTGTTTACGGGACATGTTTGGCGCGATCTCTTCAAGCTCGCTGGGGTCAAGCTCAAGATGAGCACAGCTTTTCATCCTCAAACCGATGGACAGTCCGAGGTGGTCAATCGCACAATTGCTATGTATTTGAGGTGTCTCACTGGCGATCGTCCTCGTGCTTGGCTTCAGTGGCTTCCTTGGGCAGAATACTGTTACAACACTTCATTCCACTCCTCCCTTCGGACGACGCCATTTGAGGTGGTGTATGGCCGGCCTCCACCGCCTCTGTTGCCTTACGCTGCCGGCGCGGCACGGACAGACAAGGTGGACAAGCTTCTCTGCGATCGTGACGCATTTTCTCGCCGATGTTCGTGATCGGCTGCTGCAAGCCCAGGAATATGCCAAACGGCATTATGATGCCCACCACCGCCCTCTTCAGATTGCGGTTGACGATTGGGTTCTCCTGCGCCTTCTTCATCGGCCGGCGCAATCTTTGGTGCCGGGCTTCCGTGGCAAGCTTAGTCCACGATTTGCTGGTCCGTTTCAGGTTATTGAGCGCATTGGCGAAGTCACATATCGTCTGCGTCTTCCGGAGGGAGCTCGGATTCATGATGTGTTCCATGTTGGGGTTCTCAAGCCATTTCGGGGAACTCCGCCCTCCACTACACCGGCGCTTCCTCCTCTTCGTCATGGCCGAGTGCTTCATCGCCCTGCACGCGTGCTTCGTTCTCAGTTGCGGCGCGGTGTGTGGCATGTGTTGGTTCAGTGGGAGAACTTGCCGGAGGATGACGCCACTTGGGAACCCGTGGATGAGTTCCGTGCTCTTTTCCTTTGTTTCAGCTCGAGGACGAG